GTTTGACCTGCACTCGGGCTTACACCAACTCCGGCCCATGGTCTTATGCAAGGAACCAGAAAGCGTGCATTGGCCATTCGGCCTTTAAGTGTTGCACGATCCATTTTAGTGTCGCTCCACTGGTTCATACTAAATACAATCTCTCAGTTCAATGTGAACAGGAACCAAAACAAAGCAACTGCTCAATTAGTCATGAAGACATGTGTCAGACTCTCACGTCCTTAGTTGGCAAAAGACAATCATTACCTTTTCATTTTATTTGTGTAGAAATTTCGCACTAAATGCATTAAAAAGCATACACACTCATATACACTCAAACAAAAATATACTTTACTCAATATCGATTTTCATTGGCAATCTCTCATATCTTAGGCGATCACTTATTATAAGTGAGATTTACTTGTTTCTACATTTTAATTAGTTTGGTAACATTTAGTTATCAACAATTGGTGCTAGAGAAGGGGTCCAATCAATGATTTTGATGAATCTTCTCATACTCACTCATATATCACGATACTTTTACGTAGTTTGACAGTTATGTCATCATCAATCAACGCCGACAATCAAAACAATGAGGGAAACTCTCCCCCTCATTTAGATATTAGTTACATTTTTCAGAATCCTGCCTTTGTCAAGGGTATTTATGATATTTTCGCTTAAATGTTTCTGTTTGTCCCATTTTTGTTGCTATTTTCGTATTTTTTTCTTTGTTTCCCCTATTTTAGGTATTTTCTTAGGTTTTTTGGTCCATTTAGTTGTTTGTCGCGTGTTTTCATTTATTTTGGTTTATTCGGTATCTTCTTTTGTTTTTCCCGTATTCGTATATTTTTCTTGTCGTTGGGGGTGTGCAGGTTCAGAGCACCAAACGGGTATTAGAATTTCAACCAGTATAAGGAGAAAATGGTCGTCCTAGTCGTGCGAGTATATTTCTCTAGAAGGTTGTGTCAGGAATAAGTAGAAAAAGACGGAACTCAATTCCGAGTCCGGATGAGCTTGTACGAGCCCGAGGTGCACAATCGCGCTATCGGCCCGCACCCGTGCGTCCAGACCTCGCCCAACTCTTCCTAGGCCTCACCCAACCTCACCGAGTATCTCCCAGGAGAAGCCTCATGCACGCCCCGCATCAACCTTGCGCACGCCCGTGTATTCCCGCATCACGCCCGAGCAACTCCATCAATGACGCCCAGAGTGTCGCGACTGTTGGGTTCTATTAGGAACCTTGGCTATGTGTACATTCAAATCTATTGAAAAATAAATCCTAATGCTGCGGAATCTATATTTACGATTAGGATTTACGGTTTAGAATTTTTGCCGACTCTGAAACGTTTCTGATTTCCGCTGTAGGCTCGTCGGAACCGCAGAGTCCGTTGAGCAGCCAGACTTGGCTTCATCAGTGCGTCTCCGATTGCTCATCAGGCTCATCGGATCGTCTTGGACCTTCGGAAGGTTAATCGGACCGCTCGAAAACCATCTTAGACTCAAACCGGAGCTTCTGGACTGGACTGAACCGGTTTGGACCTTGCTGGCCGCATCTGGACTGGTCTGATGGTGTTTGGACCCCCCAGATTGCATATGGGTCGTTTGGAGTACGCTGTTGGGCTGCACATTGGTCGTTGGGCCGAGAATTTCGCATATGGGCCTGGGAGACGCGTGTTGGGCTGCTGCATTGCTCGCGGGCCGTGCGGGCTGAAGTTGTGAGGGACTCGGACTCAGACGCGGTCTGCGCGGGTTGGAATCAGCCCGCATGTTTTTCCTCCTTCTCCCGATGGGCTGCCCGATGTGGGCCTCCCGCGAATTTGGGTCGCGTACTGGTTAGAGCCTTGCTCATCCTACTCTCGCTGGGCGTCCTTCAAGGACTAGGCGCGTACGAAGTGGGCTGGGACAATGCATGAACTGCTGGACTGGCTTCATGGACATAACCATTAAATATTCAGTGTGAAATGTCAATATTATATAGAGGAATTTGCACTCTCCACTTAAACAATCTAAAAATATTGCATAATTACATCTCTTATATAATTATTTACAAATTAACTAAATTTATTATATTTATTTGCATATATGCCTAAAAAGCTAATTTCCTAAATACATGCTAACTTCCCATTCTCTCTCCTCTCCCCCCATCTTCTCTCTTCTTCAAAGACGGCCTTTTCTCTCTTTTCTCACACAAAACCCTCCAACTCCTCCGATCCCCCTTCACACAAGTCCGCCACATCCTCCGATCCCCTTTCCGCCGCCGCATCAGCCTCTACCTCGCTCAAGCACCGCCGCCCTGCGAGTGAGAACATCCGCGACGAGGCCCGCTGCCACGCCTCGCCCCACGGCTTCTCTGCCATGTACGTCCCCTTCAACGCCGACCCATTCTCCACCGACTCCTACTCCCTCGACGAGATCGTCTACGAGTCATCCCCGCGTCATCTCCAGGTAGGCGATCCGAGAATCGTTTTTCATGGAGTCGACGAGAGAGAAGAGAAATACCTTTCCGGAGGATGATTTATATTCAACGTATTTTCGGTATATTTTGTGTTCTGTTGTGGTATATTTTCGATTCAGGATAATTTTGGATTATTTCGGTATATTTTATGTTGTGTTATGTTGATGTATATTTTCGGTATATTTTCCATGGAGTCTATTGTTTTATGTTGTGTTGTGGTATATGTACAGTATATGATCAGTATATGATTCACGGTTTTTGCAGTATATGTTCCGTCAAATTGTTCTTCCTGTAATCCTCCAGTTTAGCTTGTTCTTGAAATATATGTACNTTTTTCCTGATCACGTTGCGAAAATCACGCACAGAATATATGGAATGGTGGACGTTACAAAGGGTTACAGATATTTAGGCAATCCATGTAATTATTTTTTGTCCATTACGTATATATCAAAATATTTGATACTGGATGGTAAAATCGAAATATCTTTTATTTCATATAGTATGTATAAAAATTTCCCTATTATATATTTTCCTTCTTAATGGGCCCAACAATGGTCAGCTTATATTTGTACAAATACACAATATTTCGTTTATTAGCCCGTATAAAGTAAGAATCCTCAAAAAGTAGTGGCCTATTTTCATTCCAGTCCAGTAAATTGAGTCGAATCGATTGAAGGCAATCCTACAACCTACATCTACTGAGATGTTTATTTTTGTCATTATCTGCCAGCATCGTGTTTCTATATTTCAAATAACATAACAGAAATTTATATCTATTCTATATCTATATCTATATATATATAATAAGAATTATTATTTACTAAAAATAGTAGTAAAAAAATATATCAGAATTTAATGCAACTTGTACATAGTAAGTTTTATTATTTTTTTTATTTTTTTTTAAAAATCGTACAACATTAAATGTTGCCTTAAATTTCGGGCTTTAGTTAATTTTTTTTTTATTTAAAAAATATGATTAGATTTATTAAGTATGTATGTTTTTATTTTTATTTTTTTCTTAAAAACAACGAACAACATTAAAATCTCGGTCTCTATATTTATAAAATCTCAATTCAAAATATAACAAAAGTTTTAGAATCACGGTCTTTATATTTGTGCCTTTAAAAAAATATTGAACGCTAAAAATATTCTTTAAATTACATAATCAATCAATTAATCTTAATTTTTTGAAAATTACTATGTTTATTTTTTATTAATATGCATAAATTAAAAATAATGAATTCATCTTTAGATATATAATTTATAATCTTAATATACTATCATTTGGTGTAAACATTTATTATATGAATCATAAAAAAATTTTATTTCATAAAATTAAATATATTTAAAGAAAATAAGAAAATTTCTTTAGATTAATCGGGTGATGAATTAGGGTACTGTCCATGTTGATTGAATTACTTTTAGGTAATATTTAAAATAGTAAACAAACTTGGCACAACTTGGTTCGTCATAGGTGACTAAGTTATGTATCAGTTCGACCACACCAAATCGATTATTGAACCCAAATATAAATTTTATATTGAAAATATTTTATTACGTGAATGTGATGTAGTCCAAACTTCAAATAATCGTATTAACAATATTATGACAACATGTTTAATGATTTATGAATATTTGTATATCATTTTATTAATATTTATGTGAATTAAATAGTATTTATTAATGTACAGTAAATATAAGGTTTTAAGAATTGAACCGTCATCGAAACGATCAAACTATTTTATTAAATCATTTGGGGTTTATTCAAATTTTAATTTAATATATATATATAGTACTTTTTGTAATAAATTTAAATAATATGTGTTACTTAGATATTTAAACAATTTAAACTAATTGATAAATAATTTATAAATCGCTATTTTATTTAAAATAGTTTTAAATATAACAAAATTTATGTAGAAAATTGTATCGATCCTACCAGTCCAACCGACTGGTGTGACGGATTCGAGAGCAAATATTTTATTCAAGCGAACTAGATTGGTTATAAATCGGTTCTCGGTCCATCCGATCGGACTGTGTCCAACCCGGTTTAATTTAAAAACAATAGATAAATCATGATTAATGTTATTTATATATTTAATTTATAATACAATCGTAATATTACGGGTCACGCACTAGTACACAAAAATCAATAATCTTTTTTATTATTTTTCCGCAATTCAAAATATTATATGAACGAAAATTTAATGCTTATGCATACATCGAAGCCACCATCATTTGTCCAAAACTGAATGACCAGAAAATTAAGGCTCAAAGTAATATTCAAAACCAATTACTTGTATTAGACTACCTAAATATTTGGCACTAATATTTTTTATAAGAAAATACATAATTATAATATAAAATATTATACTTTTATTTATATTGTATTTTAAATATGTTATTTGAGTATAAAAGTAAATATATTTGTTGAAATATTTGTTAGACATCTTAATAGAAGATCTATTGTTAATATATTTGTTTGAAATATTTGTTAGACATCTTAATAGATCTATTGTATGAACTACAAAATTTTCATTTATTAAAAAAAAATTTTGGGATCTCCTTGGGGGGAGTAGGCGACGGCGACCACCCGGGCGGCGGCCCAGTTCCAAGAGCCCTCTTCGTCCACGCCTCATCCATATCCTTTGTTAAGTTTTTCTTCAAGTTATTTCCTGCCATGATCCTCGTTACCTTCCTTCTTCTTTGGTTAGAAAAAACAGCCTATGATACTCTGAGAGAGAGAGATAGAAATGAATGGCTTTTTCATATACATATTGAATTAAAATAATATTAAATTTCAATTTTCAACATGCCAAGACAAATGTTAGCTATTTGTAACGAGTTATAAAAATGAAAACGCATAAATGCAAAATATTATCTCTTCTGCTTTCTTACCTGGACAATGAGAAGAACGGGCTCGACCACCCATATTTGGCGGCACCAGCAGGACCATGAACCGCACCAACATCCATTATTGTGACCTTGAAACTCAAGAACAACTAGAAGACTGTTACACGAATGATGGTGATGATGATGATGATGAAACCTTAGCCAAAATCGAGGAAGGCAACGCCTAAAACAACGGCAACCAGTCACCTCAGCCACTCCTCATCCTCTCGTCCGCGGCGTTCCTCATCCTCTCGTCCGCGGCCAGCAAACGCTGCCAAATCCCCAATCCTCAGTCACCTCAGTTAATCGAATGTGGAGCCACTCCTCTGCTCCGTTCCGACTTCCATGCGGAACCCATCGCCGACGGCATCGCCGACATTGTAGGCAATTTATCGAACATGTCACGACCAATCCCATGGAGATTCTGAGCATGAACATGAAATGCGGGTTCTCGAGATTTTGCGAGATGAAGTATAAAGAGCTTGTTTACCTGACCATTGAGTGCTCGATTTTCAGACGTATGGACAGGAAGGAGAAGGTGATGGATTCTTGGAAATCATTGGCTGTTTTTCACAAGTTGTTTGTTAGGACGGCGAGCTCGATTTGACTACTTCATAAGCTGGCCTACTCTTTTAATCCCGCGATTGAAATTTTCCAGGTCGAGAGGAAAATGGAATTCTCGATGGTGTACATGAAGGATGTTTTGGGGGAAAATGGTGCTTTTGCCGGAGAGAATAAGTTGATAGTTGGATTAAGTGGTGCCGGGATTCGAAGTCAGTGGTGCCACTATTTTTTTCTTCATTTATTTCACATTTCTTTTTATTTCTTTCGAAAAATATGTAGAATTACTGAAATACCCTTAAAAATTAGCTTTTTTTAGTCAAAACTACTTCTATACCCAGTTTAGGGGACAATTTGACAAACCTGTACAGTTCAGGTGGTGGTTTGTAAAAAAAAAAAAGTTTATATAGTGATGCAAAATAGTGATAGTTCGGATGGAAAAAGTTTTTTACCCTATAAACTATAATATTAACGTTGTATTTGTTTGATTAGCTTATAAGTTTCATGTATTCATATAAATTTCGTTTGGTTTGGACGAACTTATTTAAAAGTTCGAACTTATCTCATAATCAAGCTTTTTTAATTATATTTTAAAATAATTCCACTGAATTTTTTATTTCAGCTACTTTATCAGCTAATTTACCAAATATTTTCATCATATTAGCTAGTTTTTCAAACATAAATCATAAGCTAACAGCTACAAACTCGAAATTCGCATAAAAACTATAAACTAACTTATCAGTTAGATATTTTACCAAACATAGCCTAACACACAAGGCCAATTGGCTTAACACCACACTTAAGTGAGGGATCCTTGCACGACTCAACTTATTTAGGCATCTATTCACGTGTAAATAAATATACGCATATTTAAAAAAACCAAAGAAAAAAAAAGACTCATTTAACTAATTAAATTTAAAATTTATCGTTTTGAGAAAAAAAAAATACTAAATTTGAAAATATCAATCTTATCATGCATTTAACTTGTCAAAAAATGACAAATCAACTTGCAAAATGAAAGTCTTCTGTCTTCATACAGATCAAACTGGAAGTCACTTATGACTTAACGATAAAATTGTTTGTTTTATTTGTCAAATCGGTTAACCATAATCTGACTAGGCCCTTTCAAGAATTTCCTGCAGTTTGACCAAAAGTTAATGAGGACAATTTCAGTTCACAGTTGATGATGTTTGGGTAATAGACAGGCAAATTAAACAATATTATCTTTGCTTTAGGGAGGATTTATAAATAAATATATCTCTTAGTTTGAAAATTGAAATGTTTGAAATTCAGACGGTCTCATCTCTCATGAAGACACTTCCCACATGATTATTCGGCAGGTCTTGAAGTTGGCCGATTTAATGATTAGGCTGGGTATTTTTTTATTTTTATTTCTTACAAATAGTTATACTTTTATAAAAAATGGTATAGAGTAAAAATAAAATAAAAAATTTGATAGAGTAAATAACTAAATATATTGTTTTGTTCCGTATTTAGGCATGTGATCGTGAGTTAAGCAGCCACCGATGTGATGGCGACTAAATTTAAGGGTATTAATCATGATTAGTTTATTGAAAAGATTTTATTAAGCGCTTGTTAGATGTACCTTTGAACAGTATTAAAATTAGTTTGGAGTAAAAGAGTTTTGACTGATTGAAAAGAAACTAGTACGTAACTCGTGCGATGCAGAAGATGTAAAATTTAGAAGAATAATATAATCTCACGTGCATTAGGATCGAAATTGAAATCATTAAAATACATAGGAACATTGTTGGATCATAAAAAGTTCGGTAACAATCATAAATTATTAAAAACCTCATTGTACACAACATTATGAGTTTGATTATTTGGTAACTCCTTATTATCACAAACTAATATTTTCAACCCCTTCTATTATTTACACGCGAAGCAACAACATATAATTGACCGTGACTAAAAACGGGTTTCTTCAGGAAAAGACCAACGTGCGATAAAAAAAAGTTTTTAAAAAAAGAGTTTGTAAAAATTGAAAAGTCAAGGCAATCAGTTCAGATTAATTAAAGGTCAAAGAATATCCGCTCCTTGAAATAAAGACGTGTGCTATCATTAACCAAATATCCGGTTATTGATATATAGTGGTTACCAAAAAATAGAACGCGATAAGGACGCTTCATGAAAATATCAATGGGATAAGGTCATAACAGATCGCTATACATTTTAACGATAAAAGCTCATATGGAATGATTTAGTTAGATGTGTGAAAAGGACATAATTAATGAGAAGTGTGAAAATGACATAATTAATGAGAATTGTGAAAAGGACAAAAACTTACCGATTTTAGAAAATATTTAATGCAAATCCAACATTGACCATAATTTGACCTACTATTTTGGATAAATGTTAATGCTTATTATATAAGTATAGATTAATTGCGAAGGTCTTTCACATCAAAAAGGAGTTGGGAGATATATCCCTTCAATATATATTCTATAAATTAGTATGTAACCCAAAGATAGCCCAAAGCCATAGAAGAATATCGATTAATATAAAGATAATTTTGAATATTAATATTTTTTCTTTTATTTTATGTATATAATAATTTAACATATAATTTATATATTTATAAAATAGTTGTCATTTTAAATTTTCTGTTTTTTGAATTATGGATAATGGCATTTTAACATATTTAAACATTATCAGTAAATAACACACACAAAATACTTCTCTCTTTGTATTCCTTACTCATACGTTATTACAACTAGTACGTAGCTCGTGCGATGCACGGGACATAAGTATTAAATGAGTCATTTCCACAGAGTTTGTCCGTTAAGTAGCTCGTGCGATTCACGGGAGATATTGAATGAGTGAACCATAGGGATTGTCCGTTTAGGCTTAAAAAATAATAGAGTCTGATATTTATCTTTTTACATCTTTTCATCAACGTCATTTTTTTTTTTTTGTCGAAACATTAAACCTGAGTCTGGTAGCGCAAACCCGTAAATTAATTAATATATTATCTCGCTCACATGTTTATAATAATATAATTTGATTTCATTATATATATATATATATTCCTTGATATAAGAAAAATAATAATTTTACATAATCTTGTTCCTCGTATAATACTTATATTATTTTATTATAAAATTTATTGTAATAAAATTTCATTATTATTATTTATGCAAGTTATATATGTAGTCTTCTTCTTCTTTTTGTTTTATATAATTAAAATATTTAATGTATGTTCATATTATTTATAAATGTAATTAATTTAAATTATGTAAATAAATTTAAAGTAAAACATTTTGTACAAACATTTTACAAAATATACACAAATATTTTTTTTAGATTTTTTTTTATAATAAATAAACATCTTTGAAATTCTATGCAATTATTAAACATCCGTGATATAAATTCGAAATCATAATTGAATTCTATGCAATTAGTAATTTTGTCCGATGTTATGAGAAACAAATCAATCGGAAATGATTATATGTAAGTTGAGATAAAATGAAATGTATCAGAAAAATCTGCTTATGATACTTTCCTTTAAATGTTTGAATGAATTTGAAATTTAAATTACAAATCAACCAGTTATTCAAATAATTTTAAAAAAGTTACCAATTGTAGTAAAATGTATGTGACAATATATTATAAATATACATGACGTCAGTAATGTTATGAATCTTTAAGTTCCTAAAATATATATTATTTAAATATGAAACTAATTAACTTATATGTTAAGAAAATATATATAAATATATGTATTGTACGAAATATACGCGTGACAAGTTATTATATTTGTTTATATATAGTTTGTATTGTTATTATATTTGTATATAAATATATTGTTTATATATTTTTCTGTATTGTACGGCAAATTATTATATTTGTTTAAATATATATTGTTTAAATATGAAACTAATTAACCTATATGTTGAGATAATATATATAAATATATGTATTGTATGAAATCTTCAACGTGTTTATTAAATTTTTCCCCTAAAAAATTCAAATACATTTAGGCATGTTTTGTTTGAAGTTTGAAATTTAAATATGCATCTATATAACAAATCCCATGATTTATGCTAGCATTAAATGCTACTTGATTTTTTATTAAAAAAATTAAAAACACATACCAAAAATGGAATGCAATTAATGTTCCCTATTTTTTTGCTTACTATTTTTGAAAAATGTTAATTTTTATTATATATATATAGATAATTAAATTCCAAAATAAGTTATTCTAAAATTAAAAAAATGTGGTAAATATTATAACCAACAGTTAATTGAAAAATACTGTAAAATATATTATTTTGAAGTTTAAAAATTTAATAGTTTTTAGTTACATGAATATTACTTAATTTTGTTTTTATATAAATTATAATGATGTATTATAATTATTTTAAATTTTCTTTATAATCTAATAATTTATATGACAATTCCACACCGACTGATTTATCATTATAATTAATAACGATATACATTATAAATATTATTTATTTTTTATAATCTAACAATTTACATCATTGTTCGATAAGTTATTTATTTGTTTATCATTATAATTTATAATAATATACATTACAATTTTTTTCTTAGTTAACATTTTATATGGATAGTTCGATAAATGATTCATTCATTTGTCATCATAATTGATAACAATATATATTATAAACGAGTTCAACCGAGTTTTTTATTCAACGAATATTGATAAAAAAGGTATAAACGAGTTAAACCGAGATTTTTATACTCAAGTTTAGGCTCATATTTGTCTTCAGTCAAGCGGATCTTATTAAACGAGTCAATAAATAAGTTCGAACTCGACATCCTTACCAATATTATAAAATTAATTATGCAAAAACTTCTATTTTAGAACCGTAATGGCGCGAGTTCATTTTGTTAACTAATTAAATAAGCTCGAGTTCGAATTTTAACACGAGGAGTCGAGTTGAGTAGGGTTGTTAGTTTAACAGCTCTATATATGATAAATCATAATACAATACTGTCACTTTAAAATTATATTATAGTGTTCTGGATTGTCAAAATTATTTGCATAATATTTGACAG